TTTTGCACAATTCATATTTTAACTTTCAAAAAAAGTGCAATAGTGTTTAAATAGACATTTTTCATACCATCACATATATATATTTTTCTCTTTAAATCTTTTTTAAAAAATTTTAATCTTTACAACTTATATACAACAAAAATATGTGATTTAAATTTAAAGTTAAAAATTTAGTTCGTTTTTACATATCGTTTGTTTTACTTGTTAAGCATGATTCTTAAATTTATTATGTTCAATCTATTCAGAATATTTCAGATATACGTATATTCGAAATGTAAATATGATATGATATAAAAAGATGTATATGTCTTACATCGTTACGAAGAAGAAAACTTTTCATTCGTATAAAAATGGAATTTTTCTACTTTAGTTATCTTAATAAAGATACGAAGAATTTGCACACTTATGTATTTTTTTGTTTATAATATAATTGATTATATTATCTATATGAAACGATCCATTTATCTTATATGGAACAATAGAATTCTTTAATTGTGCAAATCAATCTAACGTGGTAATCGAGCACTTATAGCCAGGATTTTCAAGTTCTGAAACACGCTACGATTTAAAAATGACTTAATTTTCTCCGAAATTTTCCCTAAAAAAGAAATTAGTATAACATCATATAATCTCCACTGCCTCTGCTATTAGAGTTACAACATGTAACCAAATTTCCGTCAATCCAAACGTGGCATCGTAACTTTTAACTTTATCTAATCTAACAGTAATAGTGGAGATAATTTTTATGTCATTAATTTCTCTTAGAAATGGAAATTGAATCATTATTAGTAATAAACGAGATAACGTTCTCGTTTGACAACTTTGAAGCAAAATTATTAGGAGAAATCCCTCAATGAGAGATTTCTTTCCTTTCCTTTATTATTTACTTATACTTATATTATGTCTACTAGTCTAATCTCGTCATTAGCATACTCATTTAGTAATGAACTAATCAATTCGCTTTTTTCCCCATTATATTTTCTTTTTAAGTTTCTCAAATCTTTTTATCTTCTATTGGTAACATTAATTATAATCATTTTATAGTTTGTTTTTATATGGAATTAAATAAGTAAGAGGATTCAAAATCATATCTCATAACGGAAATCTTCAATGAAAATATAATCTTCTAATCTAAATTTTAGTATAATGTAATGTATGTAAAATAATGGGGAATTGTAATTTTCCATTTTTGATGGAAACGCTGGTTAAAAATTCCATTCAAAACAACGACATTTGATTGTATATTTCTGATATTTATTATTCTGTAAAATAATGTACTGAAGTCCCTTTTTTTATTTTCTAAAAAAAGGTCCAATCACTTTCTTAAGATCAGAAGCATCTGATTATATAATCTCGTAATTAATTTACAAAAATTAGAATCAAACTCATTGATGATATCAAGAAACGTCTCTGTTTCTCCCTTTTTCTTTTTTCAAAGATCTTCTGCGACAGATCACACCCTCCTGATAATATTGAAAATGGAATAATGTCGAAACTTAAATTGATAATCGAAAGGATCCAAAATCACTTAAATATACTCAATGAGACACTTTTCGATCGCTCTTTTGGATCTGATAGTCGATGTTTCAATCACTAGATTGATCTTGTTTTTGACAGATGCTGTTTGATTTATATATGATTGATATACTTTCGCGCTTTTTCAAACTTTGGAATTAATCTACATTAGCAAAATTTTTTTATTTTTTACCATTTCTCATTAACCTTAAGATATAAGATATAAAATAAAATATTCCTTTTGACGCAAGAGACATATTTCTTTATTTTCTGAGTTTTTTGTACCATTTATCGCTATCTAAGAATTCTTTCGCAATAGGAACAAAAATTTAAGATTTTCTAGTTGCTATTAGAAGCTGACTGGTAATAGCTTCAGAAATGTTGATGCCTCAAAGTGTATATGTGGTGTTTCATTCATATTGCTCAGTTTACTTCTGTCTCTATCTATACAATCATTAATATGAATATGATACAAATACATTATAACATGAATAGATATAATTTTGTAGAAATTTTTTATTAAAAATAAATGGAGAAAATTATAATTTTATGTAATTATTAATTGTTACGTGTTTTTAATTTCAGAGAAGATCCGCCAACTGAACCTGACCAACAAGAAAATTGGAATACACCCGAGTAAGCATACGTTTTATTCCAAAAAGAATTGTTTAAAATAAAAAGAAATATTTAAAAAATTCTAATAAATTAATTATCTTAATATAAATATTATTTTTAAATTTAATTATTTAAGAAAGAAACGTAATAAATAAGAGATTTACTTTACACAATCATTTACTAAAAAAATAATTAAAGATTTTTAAAAAATCTTAATATTTCGTTAATCTTTCTTTGAAATGATTCAAATATTTGTATACTGTATTCATAATTTAAGAATATATTTTTTAGAAAATATTAAATTATTTTTCTTAATTACAATAATGAATTACATTGTTTAAATAACATGATACAATTACAAATAAACATAATACAAATAAATAAATTGAAAATAAATAGATATCCATTTATGCAATAACAAAACATTTTATTTTCAGACCACCACCACCACCTGAAGAAGGATGGCAATAAAAAAATATTTTATGAAATATTTCATAAATAATTCTATTTCTACATAAAGCCATTTAAAAATCTTTAATTATTTATTTTAGCAGTTTTATTATATATAATAATTAATATAATAATAAAATACTTTAAAATTAAAATGGTTAAAAACATAACACATGTTGCAAGCTGGAGAAATATGATTATGCATCAGTCAGATTATAAAATTATTAATCAGGCAAATCCATTTGTTAATTGCACTGGATATTGAGGAAAATGACAAAAAAAGTTAGTAATAGATTTTGCAATGTTAAAATAATTGAAATAAACAAAGATTATAGATTTAAATTTATTGGATTGGATATTGTAATTGAATAAACTTTATATATCAAAAAATAAAATATATATTTATTTTTTTCGACACACAATTGTTCAACGTTACAATCTATCTATACATAAAATTTTAAATCAAATGAGTAATTTTGAAAAAAGTATCAAAACGAAAGATAATTATTTACAAAAGTACACATATATTTTTTATTTAAAATAACATGTACTGAAATACATATATATACAATATATATTTAAATCAAACGTTTATTCGAAACTTTCATCATATGCATCAAATATAAAAGGAAAAATCATTCCACAAAAATGCTTTTAAATTTATAATACAATTTATGTAAAATATCTCTACAATGTATATATACCTAATACGATGTGTTATGATCATATGATAATTAATGATCTTATTCAACAAAAACTAAAACAAATTTCTTATTTGGAGATCGTACGCTCGATTTGGATTCTCAAAAATTCGAAGATGAATATGGAATAAGAATCTTTCCATGAAAATTTCGCGATAGATTCTTTCCTATTTCTATTACTCTATTCTTTTATACATCTCAAAAATTAAAGTCAACTGATATATAAGGAAAAGTTGTTCAGAATCTTGTGTTTGAAAATTTCATCGAAATCGATGAGAAGGATTCTTTTGTAAACAATTTCATTTTAATACTTCTTTTACTTATTTTAGAGTTTATAGATACTATGAACATAACATTGAACAATTGAACGTTTATAAAAAATATATATATACATTTTCATATGTAAATATATATATATTTATTTAATTACAATATCACTGTTAAAGTCTGAATTGAATGAATTTGAATATTGCACAAATGGGGTGCCTGAACCGAGGCTATTACTCGAAAGACTATTTATTGTCGTAGAATTGTACAATGTCTTTTGTATTATGAGATTTAAACGAACGAATTGTTTACTTTAACTATTTTGACTATAATGATTCTGATGTGAACTGTATCGTTTCTGAATTTTATCTGATCTAAATTCTATTTTATTTCAACTGATCTGATTTATCATTATTCTTCGTGAAAGATAATTGGAGAGTGATTTCGAAAGATGAATTCTACATCAGGCGCAAGTGGCCATTGCTATTATATTTTCGTTACCTGGAAAACTTTAGAGAATTGAACTTGCTCGTAAATTATTGCTAGACTATTGAAAATAAAATTCAAGCTGACCGCTCTACAAGTCTTGAAATCGTTGGCGACTTCAACACTTTTCTCTCTTAACTTCGTAAAATGTCTCTGTAAAATGTCTGCATCTTCCTGCAATCCAGATGAGCCGAGGTAGATTGATTTGCTTCCCTTTGATCGTTGTTTGGATCCAATGATAAACGGCTTCGTGTGTAGACAGCTGATCGTTGCATTTATATTTTTGTTAGGAAGTATATATAGAAATTGAATGAAGACATTTAAAAAGCAGTTTATAAATATATAATAAATATTGAGGAAAACGTTACAATATTATAGAAATCAATAGTAAATTAATTATGATTACTAATATAAAAAACGACTATATCTCCAATATAGTTCAATACATTTTTAACTTTCAATGTTTTGAAAATTTCTTGACACTTGTCTATAATAGTCTTTTTCTAGAGCAATAAATTTCAACGAGAGATGTAGTTTGGAATATCAAGAATAGAAATATCAAATATCAAAAGAATTACTTATAAAAGAAGACGATTTAAAAATTATCACTTTTCATAATGGATTGCATTTTGCTATATAATTATGAATGCTGGAATAAGGTTTTTGAATTTGATGATTTGAAAAAGTACAAAAATGTGATTCTTTGCCTTTCTACTACTAAGAATATATCGATTCCACTATTAATCATTCCATATTCTCTACTCTACGTAATTTCTCTCTTGTGATTGCAAATATAAATAATATAAACTCTATCTCATTTTTTTTTTCATATTCCATAGATGTGTGGTGGGAAATGGGAAGAGAAATGGATCTTCAACATTTAATGGTAAATAAATTTCTTAAAAAGAAAATATTAATTCATATTGGAACGAACAATATATTATATTAATAATTAATTTATTAATAAAATTCCAAGAGTGAATAAAACATGCGATTCAAGCTTATATAATTTTACTTATTTGGCGGAGTATAAAATATTTCTCTGGCATGATTTTGTATTATAAATATAAATTTGTCTTTATTTTTAATTTTTATTGTTGTGTTTGAGAATTTTCACGTGTCATCAGATATGGCCTTTTGGAAGTAGGACATAAAAATGTTTCAAAAAGTGATAAAGTAATAGTACTTTTATTTCCAATTGGTTGTAATAAATTATTCCATAAAGCATTCGCAACTAAAAATACAAATAGAATAATATTTCTACGATTATTAATGAAAATTTTTTTATGTAGCTCTATTTTTTTGTTTTTTTTTTTTTTTTTTTTTTACTTTACATACTGCATTCATTTTTTGACTTATGTGAAAACAATCCACAGAAAAATACGATAGATCACTAAATCCATCCTCGGCAAGCGGAATTATAACATTACTAATGCCTGGTGAAACAATAATAGTAAAGTCTTTTCTGTTAAATTCTGGATAATTGGCGACTTCCTCTTGCACTTCCTGCCATCTACGAAATAGAATAGAAGTGTAAAAAAAAAACTATATATTTTGCTTAAATGCAAAGAAAGAAAATACATCTATCGTTTTATATTATAATTTTAAAATAATTCTTCTTTTTCTTGTTTTTTAATATTTCTTATTATATAAAGAGTAATAATCAATTATATTTATGAAAAATATATGTGATTTTGAAATTTTCATGAAAAAAATGAAGATAATATAATATGGTTTTTATATAGATTTTTTTTAATTAAAAACTATTAAAAAAAAATTGACAATTTTTAAACTAAACTGTATATTGATCTAAATTATATAAACCTGTTTATTATTTCATAATATTCCTGTCTCCGATCTCGGAATTGTAAAGCAAATAAGCATGAACATTCGAAAGTAGTCATCATATAGCATTTCAATGAATCTCTTCCTTTGCGAGTAGCAACAAGTTCCTTCAAATGGGGCATTATTATCACTGATACCAAAGTACGTGGTAAATTATCTCTCAATATCCGAAAAGTATTGATTAAATCGATTCTGTGCTCGTCCAAAATTGACCATGGAGAAACTGTACATATATTGGTACAAAAGTCATTGGCACCTATCAGCAATGAAATGAACTATAAAACATTAAAATGAATATTCTGTTATATTTTTACATAATATATGTATTAATATATTTTTTTTNTTTTTTTTTACTTACTTATTGCATGCGTTTTTTGACTTAGGTGAAAACAATCCGCAGAAAAATACGATAGATCAACGAGTCCATTTTCGGTAAACGGAACTATAATATTACCGATGCCTGGTGAAACAATAACAGTAAAGTCTTTTCTGTTAAATTCTGGATAATTGGCGACTTCCTCTTGCAATTTTTGCCATCTACAAAATAGAAGTAGAAAAAAATCTATATACATTTTGAAAAGAGAATACATCTATTATTTAAATAATCGTCGTGGACTAAAATAGAAATATAATATTAAAACAGTTAAAACTTATAATGTTATATATTATAATTTTTTTTAAACAAAAGACGCTATAAAGAATAATGAATTATATTTATGAACAGGAAAATATACGTAATCTTAAAATTTCCAAAATGAAAAAAATGAAGGTAACATGATATATTATTGTGTTATATATTTCATTTTTTAATCAAGAACCATTAAAAAAGAATTATAACTTCTAAATTAAATCGTATTTTAATTAATTAAAACTAAAGCTATACAAACCTGCTCATTATTTCAAAATATTCCTCTTTTCGATCTTGGAATTGTGAACCAAATAAGCACGAACATTCGATATTGGTTGTTATATAACACAATGAATTTCTTTTTGTGCGTGAATTAGCGAATTCTTTTAAATTGAACGCTATTACAAGGGATACCAAAGTACGTGGTAAATTATCCCTTAATATTCGAAAAGTATCGATTAAATCAATTCTGTGCTTTTCCAAAATGGACCACGGAGAAGAAGACATACACATATAAGTACAAAAGTCATTGGCTCCTATGAACAATGAAATGAACTGTAAAATATTAAAACGAATACTTTAATAATTGATATATGTTTTTGTCACATAGATGTTTTATTTGAAAAATTTAATATCATATTTAATATTCAAATAGATTTATAGTAGTGGAGTTCAATTAATCATATAATTAATGAAGAGAAAATGCACTAAATTGATAAATTATTTCTTTCATTTTAGGTATAATGTTTTTCGTATAATGCATTTTATAATGCATTTTATAAGCATTTCATAAATCTTAATCTATATTAAAAATGTATACATACAATTTATTAATGAATGCACATACAATTTTGTTAACAAATTATCATTAATAAATATCAACAACCAATTCATATCTATATTCGTGTAAATAATAAACTTAATAGTTATTAATCATGCAAATAATAATTTACTAATAGCAATATTAATATTAATATTAAATCACATTAATTATCACAAAAAATATTATATTTTTAATAAATTCATAAGATTTTATATACGTATACGCATATGTCATAACTCACTTTTAGCGGTAATTTGCATAATGTTTTACCATTTACCAACCTTCCAATGCTTCTTTATATTTATTCTTCTATCACGTTTCATTCTAGTGACTAAATATTTAGCCATGAAAGGCATATCTCTCGATATTGCATTAATTTCAGCGACGTTCAGCTGTGAAGTTGGCTCGTAAGTTTGACCATCTCCAATTGCATAGCCTATTAATCCAGGATTGAATTCCTGTATGTGAGAAAATCTGACTATGAAAAAATTGTATTTCTATCTATTCTTAACACAAAATTTTTAACGCTAAATTTGAAGAGATTAGAAATAAATTTTGAGATATGATAAAAAACACATGAAAATATTAAATTGAAATGATTAAATTAATTAAATTAATCATAATTTTAAACAGTATTATAAATTTCAAAAACTGAAAATTTTTTGTCAAGATGATATTTTATTAAATCACTTTTCTGTAAGCAACAAACCTACTTTGAAGATATTCGGAAGTGTTACATATGTTCGCCAAGTTTCTTCACCACCAATACTAAATGATGCACCCCTGCTTTCAATCAATAATTCTATTAAATTAGTTGCAAATATTCCAACGCCAGCTGTCAAAGAATCACCCATCGCAGCAATAACGTCTATGTCTCCTGGTCTCAAACGATGAACTGAATCAGGGACAGTGGGAGATCTACCACCTACAGAGATTAAATTTAAAACATAATAATTGTAATATTTGTTAATAGAATATAGCATTTTCATTTATTATATATTACAATATCAATAGTTGAAAATTTGTTCAACTACCTGTCACGTTGCAAGGAAATGGAGTGTCCATCGGAATTTCTGATTGAAGTTTTCCTTCATTCTTCGCCCGAACTCTTTCATTTTTAACTTTTGTATAAAAAAAAAAGAAGAAATTATCGACAAAGTGCCGAAATGTTTTTTAATGAAATGAGAACTAAATCTTAAATTAAAAAAAAAAAAAAAAAAACAAATAAAATACTATAATAATTCAGAATATTATCACTAATAAAATTTAACCATTTTAATAATCATTCTTATAAAATGTTATAGACGTTTCAACGTAATTATTTATTATTTATAAAATAATATATCAGAGGGAAATTATCATTTTTACACTATTTACACTATTTACACTATTCACACTGTTATTACTCTTACATTATTTTTTACACTATTCGATATTTTTACAACATTTGCTTTCTTCCACACTTTTCGATCGATTTAAATTCACATGTTATTCTTTTAATAAAAATAAAAGACGCTATAACTATGTAATGATGGAACTATTTGAATATTTACCGAAATTTTGGGTAATCCAATTACGAAATTGTCGATACGTTTCCAAATTTATCGGTGTGTCTAAATTTGTTCTTTGAGATGCGGATAGCGCGAATAAGAATTGTAACAAAAAGAATAACCATAATTTATCCATCATTATAGTTTCACGAACAACAATTAAATTAATAATTAACACGTTTTTGCAACAATTGATATTTTCTGGCCAGTTTTTATAGAGTTATTTTTATAGAGTTGTAAATGTTGAGCGTACTCAAAGGAAGTTTTCTTTCTTCTGAGATAACTGCCGCGTATCCGTATATATTATTCTCTTATAATATGATTGTAGTTAGTTAATGATCGGTATCATTAAGGCAGAAATTTATTAAAGAGTAAAAATAAAAATAATCTTATTATGTTACGTTGAATAAAGCAAAAAATATATAGTAGCATGAAAATAAATAACTAATAAATCTTCTCAAATTAAGAATCGTAAATATGTATGAAATAGATGATTCACCTATATCTTGTTCTATGATTACGTATGATCTACACAGTCGTGCAACAGTAAAAAGTAATGCGAGAAAAATTTGATGAATTGAAGGCAAAAGGAAGAGATAAAATTCAAATATAAAAGTTTAATTTCGGATATATTTATTATTATAATTTCTACTTATTTCCGAAATATTAATAAAAAAATATTTGGATATTTTATATTGAATCCTTTTTTTATATACACGCATTCGAAATTATCAACTATTCATACAAACAACCGATCAAAATTTATATAATAAACTATAATAAATGTTCAAGCAATTTTTCAAAAATGCGCAATGCAAAAAGTAAAATAACGCAAATTACAAGTGAATTATTGCCTCATTTATCCTTTTTTTATATAGATTCTTCAAAAATTTTCCCACGAATATATCACAAACATCCTGCATATCATGTTACATACATTATAAACATAATAATAAGGCAATGTAAACACCAATTATATATTTAACATTAATATTAATTATTATCGTGGTAATGATATAATAATTATTATTATATATGTGAGATTTTTCTTAAAACGATTTTTTTTTTTTTATCCATAATTTAGTTACGTAAAAAGTTAGCATTAAATGTTTAACTTTGTCAAAATGATTTAAGATATTAAAAATTATTTTTTATTGACAATACACTCTTTTGTTTTGTTTTGTCATTTTTCTTTAATATTTTATTCCTTCTTTTTATCTATTGAATGTTTCAATAAGTATGAGATTTGTTGTTAATTCAGTTTGATAATTTAAATTTGATTATATATCAATTAAAAATGCCTTTTCCTTCAGTTTCCAGGTTGCTCAAACAATAAATCTGCAGATTTTTTATTCTTGTTTATTTACGTATAATAATATTTTAAAAATATATTGTAAAATCAATTTTATATCAGATTATATATTTGAACGTTGAATGTATAAAAATTTTTCGACTTATTATGCGTCAAAAATGAAATTGTACTTGATATAAATATTTCATTATTATTTTCATTTTGGACAAGTGCGTAGAATTTAAAACGAACAAAGAATTCGGTGGAAACTGAATTTCGAAATTTAAGTACCGATTTCTTTCACGATGATTTCTAAATTCTAAATTTAAATGACAATTTTGAAATTATCGCATTTGTTTTTTTAGTTATCTCCAATAAAAAATACAACTAAAAAAAAGATAAAAGAGAACGATCCAGCTGTTTTCAAGGAAAAATTCTCGCGATTCTATTAGAATTATATTAAAATATTGCGAAGGTCGAATTCTTTGTCGTTTTTCCGGTAATTTATCACAAAGCATATAACACGCACCATGTAATTTATAAAATAGTCGTTATTATTATTTTTTTTTCAAACAAGGAAATTATACATGATTATAAATTATTGTTAAATTAAAAAAAATTAAAAAAACCGAAAACTATTGAAATTATCGAGAAAATAAAATTCATGCTATTATGGCCATTTCGTAAAAATCAATAATATTGATATTAATATTGCATGGACCGACATCGGTAAAAAAAATTTAGAATAATTAATTCCATTGCCCAGAAACTTTTTATTAGAAATCACTTGAAATGAAGGTGACAGTATCCAGTCATTAATCAAAAAAGATATAAAACGAAATCACTGAAGACAGCCAATTTATATTTCAAACGATTTTGTTTCTTTCATTGATGTTTGTCCTCGATCGATCATTTGTCCTTGAAAGAATTCAATAAATGTATATGTATAATATAATATATATAAATTATATTATAATTAATTAATAGTGTATTATATATTAATTAATAGTAATAACTTAATAAGCTCTCTATTTTCAAATTTATATTACAATGCTTATATAATATTTATATTATAACGAATTTGTCCTCGATCGATCATTTGTCCTTGAAAGAATTCAATAAATGTATATGTATAATATATATAAATTATATTATAATTAATTAATAGTGTATTATATGTATATTAATTATTAGTAATAACTTAATAAGCTTTCTATTTTTAAATTTATATTACAATGCTTATATAATATTTATATTATAACGAATACTGAGAGCACGGAATCGACTAACAACGGAGCATCAATCTTAAGCAGACATTTCATATCAATAACCATCATACCATATTATTGAAACATATTAAGTTGAAATTAAATTACGAACACATACGAATATAATAATCGCCTTCAGCAATTACTAATATATAAATTCATTTTCTTATTCCTACATTCTCGTTCAAGTCTCTTATTTTATAAGAAATATTTGAAGTAAGAATCTAGATGTTTTCATTAATCTAAATATTTCTTCGAGACATTGCCTTATATTATATTTATTTTGATTATTTTTGTTATAATAAGATTCTCTAAAAACTTCTATGTTTTGAATTGAAGAGAATTTTTAAACAAACGTAAATTTATTTAAGAATATTATGTTTACTGTTGTATTGACTTATAAAAAAATCGGTTACACGATAATTTAAGATTCGTGATGATATATAAAGTACAATATACTGTTGAACATTTTCTGATACTATACACTATTATATCAGTAAGTAAAAAAAGCTATGATTTGGATTAGTATATTACACTAGAAATAAAAATGCGTGTAAAAATAGACATAAAAATTTCTTTCTATTAAGCAATTAGATCTACATTCCTTCTGCCAGACCTTTTTTCAGCATTGAAAAACCGCACTTGTAATATATTCCACATATCATTAAGAATCGATACATTAATAGTTACAAATACGAATTTATACATACATAAATATATGAAAGAGATATTAAAAAAATATTCGACATATATACGCATTTAACAAGCTTTCATCTATCACTACAATAGTTTTAAAAAAGAAGTTAAAGTATATTAAATAAATATTATAATATTTAATAAAAATGAATAATATAATCCAATATAAACCAATAATGTAACAAAATATAATAATAGAATTATAATAGAATTAAAAAATAAAATATAAATTATAAAGAATTATAAAATAAAATATAAATAGGAAATTTACAATCAGATGAAAAAAAAATATTTGCAAAATAACTCGTTGTAGAAAAGCACAAAATTCTGATAAGAAGAAATTGTAAAACGAATCTTAAAAAAAAAAAGTTAAAATATTATATTATATTATATATATATACATATATATTATGCAATTATAAATAAGTCTAATATTTAATATAAATAATAAATGTATAATATATGTATATATATATATAAATTATAATATTTTTATGTTTCATATTTTGTATCATATCTCAAAATTTACAGTTATGTTTAATGAATTTTATATATTTATATATTATTGGCATGAAAAATTTTTTTCAGAAATAGATAGAAAATTATATAATTTTTTTTACATGTTCACCTTATATATATAATTTACAATTTTAGGATCAGAGACAAGAATATTATGAAGTAATAAAAAAATTTGTATAGTTTAACTTAGCTTACAGTTTAGTTTTGAAATTATAAATTTTCAATAATTGATTAAAAAATAAAATATTCATAAAAACTGCATTATTATCATTATTTTTTCCATTGAAAATTTAAAGGCACGTATATTTTCTTGTTCTTAAATATAATTGATTATTCTTTATAGCATCTTTTAGAAAACAAGGAGGAAAAAATTTTTTCTAAACTTATACATAACATATTTTGATATAATTTTTGTATACTCACACATTACTTTATTCAAATAATGATATGTTCTCTCTTTTGGGTCAGCATACATAAATTGCATAAGCAATATAGATTTTTTAGACTTCTATCTTATTTTATAGATGGAAAAAAATGCAAGTTACGAATTATCCAAAATTTAATAGTAATAATTTTTTTATTATTAATAGTAATAATTTTACTATTATTAATTCATTAATAACTATTACTAGTATTAATTTACCGATGGATTCAGTGATTTTGCATTTTTCTGCTGATTGTTTTTACATAAGTTGAAAAACACGTGCATTATGTAAGTAAAAAAAAAAAAATACAAAATAAAAATTAATATCAATTATCAAATAATCAAATGGAAACAAAATTATTTTTTTGAATTTCAGTATTCGAAACATTTTTGTTCTATTTCTAAAAATCAATCATCAACAATAAAAAATTAAAAATAAAGAGACAGATTATATAAATATTAGTTTTATATTAATATAAATTTATAATATAATATAAAATATATTATACCAAAAATATTTTATTTGAATATAAATTTTTGCCATGAAATTATATAGTTTCAAATCTTGTATTCTATTCATTCTTGAAATTTTTTTTTCTTCCACTACAAAATGATGATCTCTTAAAGAAATTTTTTTACTATAACTGTTATAGTATTTAAATCATTATTATCCATATATATAATATACAGACACATATATTTTCAATCATAAATGAATAATGCATTTGCATTATATAAAAAAAAGATAAAATCGAAAATTTATTCCCTTTTCTCTCTGATCTAGATATTTTTATCTAAACATTTTTATTGTTACTTTAAATGCTGCTTAATAACATTTCCTACAGAAGTATTTTATTAATTATTATTAATAATATTAATTAAGAATATATGTATATGTGCTTCCTTAAAAAAAAATTAAAGAAAAATAGTTGGAGATTATTTAAAACGAGATTAATAACTTTTCTGCCATTATCAATTCAGAATCATGAAAAAAATGTTAATATTTTAGCATATATTAACAAAATATGAAACAAATTAATAAAAAAAGTTATACGCATAAAATAAATATAATACTTATTTAATATGACTACATAGTTAGACATATATATATGGCTCATTGCATTTTATACATACAAATTTTATCTTTATGTATAACATAGAAAACATATTTTT